CCCTACCTCTTTTATCTGTGATTTCCATCGGACTCTTGAGGGGACACCATGAGTTGTCGACCAAAGTTTTTAGTGTAGATATGGAGGGCTGGGAATTTACAAATAGTGAGTAGTCCCATCTGGCCGTACTTACCTTTCCAAGTTCATGGTTCCACCAAAAACATTCTGTTGGGCCTAACGTAACTAACATAGTTATTGTCAGTGTAAAACCTCATAATTGCCTCAGATAATGAGGAGTTGAGGCATTCCAAAAGCCAAGAATTCCTAATAGTCTTAGCACAGCATTTGACTTCTTTTTCGAGCTGTATGCAGTATCTATCCCAATTTGTTTATTTTGAGTTTCTGTATATAGTCTCAGTCACATTATATCCAGATAAATCAAATCTAGTATAACGATAATCAGAGCATGATTCTCTCCACAATGATACTCTCCCTCTCCCATCCTTACCCTCAGGAATGGCTAATTGAGCTGCTGCCAGGTCCCTGAAACATTGATGCCACAGAGGCATCAGCTTAATTCTATTCTTGAACAGGATACAGGTTATCAGACATTCAGGCAATGCAATAATACTATACCCAGCCATATTCTATCCCCTGATCCTGCGCTCGAATAGGTAATGTTCTTGAATCAATACGATATCCATGCCCTTACCTCTAACTTACTGCGGAAGCACACCACAATCTGACACAGAGTGATAAAGATTCACCTGCAACAGCTTAACCATCATTAAGAGGAGCCAGCTACAGGAGAACCATCCTCCGCCAGAGCCCAAAGGGGTACATCCATCCCGATTCCATGTTTCTCGGGTCCAGAGACTCTCCCCGGAGATAAGCCCTCCTCGGTTGACTCAGACACTACTACAATTCCACTATTGGAAGCTGAAGTTCTCCCTACCTCCTCTGTCTAGGAAACATTTAAAGAAGCAGTACCCACCTGTGGGGTCTACGCATTATGTTTGGGTGGCTTCTTCTTCTCAAACGCCTTGAGTGCAACTTTGACCACGCAATACATCACCATCATATTTATGCCCTCAAGGTGTTTGATACTGTTTTCTGGAATTCAAAGGATTCCACAGAATAAATTTGTTTCCACCTTAATTGCCAACTATCTAACCACTACTATGTCTAACCACCCACCTCCAGCCAATCAACAGAGCTGATCACCTGGGCTTTCACATCCTCGTTCTGCTCCTTGGTAAGCTGAGTGGATAAATATCCACATGGGATAAGTACCATCCTACTGCCTCCAGTCGTTAAAATAGGAAACTGCACCAGCCTCCCTGTTTTTTGTCCTCTTTTCCGCAGGCGTCGAGTTCCCTGGCGAGGACCTGGTGCACTTCGTGACTGGCCCGGGCTCCTTACTAACTGGTTTCATAGCAGCCAGAGCTGCTGTAACCAGTAGCTCAGTCCCAGACTTATCCTTGAGCCTCTTCATTCTCTTCCACTTTCTTCTCTGTGCACCAGAGAACTTAGGGCTTGATAGGAGACCAGTTCGACCAGCCAGACCCTCAACCTCCTCTGTTATTACAGAGAGCTTAGAAACTTGAGCTGAGATAGTCTCAGTCAATTATCTTGAATTATCCTCAAGTGGTTCCATTGATGGTCCCTCCGAGTATCTCACAACCACTTTCTTCTCTAACAGTTCCATTTCCATTAGCAGTTCTTTATCCAAAGTTCTGTCATTACCTGTGTTGTCCGTCCATTTTTTTGTTTGTTGTGGAGATTGCATTGTGTTCCCACGAGTATGGTGGTGGAAAAAGGTCACTACAGTTACTACCCCCTCTCCCTGCAGAAGGCAATTAATTACAATCAGGTGCGCCAGATGTCCTAAGTGGGTTAAGTGATTAGAAATAGAAATTAAATAAGTTTTAAAGGTTTTCTATGTAAATATATTACGATATGTTAAAATAATGTAAAATGTTAACATCCATGTTATTAGAAAATCCAAAAAGAATTAATTTAAATTAATTAAGTTTTCTTTCAAGATATATCAACCCTACCTTAACTAATAATAGTTAGATAAAATGTAAGATGATTTTATGATAAGGACAAAATATATTTTTTTAATAAACAGATAATAAAATGAGTATTTAATAGTTGACTGTTGCTTTATAAAGGAAGGAGATGGTCTGGGGCGGGCGGCAGTCATAAATAGGCTAAATAGTGGCAAAACTATTTTATTAAAAGCCAACGTTTCGACCTGATTTTGCAGGTCTTCTTGAGAGCTAGAATGGACAAGATACAAAAAGATATACATAATTGTGGAAGTTACATAATATTTAGACAAAAAATTATAAACAATGTGAATAAGCTTATTAAACAAACAGTAAGTACATTAAAAAGTAAACAGAGTAAGCTAAGTAACAAGATCCTAAACTGAAGTAAATAGATGGTAACAATTGTTGTAGTGTAATATATAATATATATTACAACAAAAGGTCAGCAAATTCCCCAATATCTACCCTTACCCTGATTTTCCAGTTCTAAGTGAAACTCCTAGCTGAACAAAATAGTCTCTATTTTTATTCTTCTAATTGTATTTACTTATTTATTTATTTTTTGGTTTTCTTTTTTCTTTTCTTTCCCCTCATTCCTTTATGTCTATTATTTCATATTATATCCTTTTTCTTTTTCTTTCAATCTCTCCTGTAGATCTGTAGAAGTATATTTGCATATATTATATATTACACTACAACAATTGTTACCATCTATTTACTTCGGTTTAGGATCTTGTTACTTGGCTTATTCTGTTTATATTTTAACGTACTTACTGTTTATAATTCAATAAGCTTATTCACATTGTTTATAATTTTGTGTTTGTATTATGTAACTTCCACAATTATGTATATCTTTTTGTATCTTGTCCCTTCTAGCCCTGAAGAAGACCTGCAAAGTCGGGTCAAAAAGTTGGCTTTCAATAAAATAGTTTTGCCACTATTTAGCCTATTTATGACCACCACCCTGGACCACCTCCTTCCTAGATAATAAAATGTATTGTGATAAATTGTTTATCCCAAATGACATTGTTAAAATGGGTACAGTATTAGTTTTATGAACATTTCTCATAAATCGTTCAGGGGTCGCTTAGTCATTAGCTTACCTATCATCTCAGTTCATCAAACCTCAAGCAATAAGAAAGGAAGTTAGATCTTTCTGTAGTGTTTTAAAATAAAGGATGGTTTATTATTACCTATCTTGGTTGGGCTATTTCTTTCATTTTATCTCCTTGCTGCTCTACAGCATCTTTATTGATTTGATATATCCACCTGATTTTTGCCCTTTCATGCCTAATTTATTGCCTACTATTGAGGTATTTATTGTTATGCTGAGGCTTTCTGATTTAACCTCCTTGCCTTCATATCATTCATGTAATCTCATGCCTTTGTGTGTGTGTGTGTTTGTGTTTGTGTGTTCGTGTGTGTGTGTGTTTGTACTTATGTATGTTCGAGGCATGTCCCTAAAGTAAAAGTACACAACTTTTTATTTTAAAAAAATTACAGATTATTGTTGGTATATATGTTATTTATTTTTCCACATAATAGTGTTCCCGCTCTATGCAGGTTGTGGTAGCACAAGGTTTTTAATGTCCTCATAAAACTTTCCCATCATCCCTTTTTTCCACATCAAGACCTCTTGTTTCACCTCTTCATCAGTTAAAAATTTTTTTCCACCCATTTGAGTCTTCAGGAAGGTGGAAAGATAAAAATCTGAAGATGCCAATATGCAGGCTGGTTCAACAGGTTGCAACCAAACCAATTCAAAAGCACTTTGGTGGCATTGGCTGTGTACAGGCGGGCATTGTGCAACAAACACATTCTCTTCATCAAAATTCACTGACAGACACATTTTACACAAGAAGAGTACAATTTCCGATTTCCCAGCATTTGCAAAATTTTCCTCGATTTTTCGCACTAACTCATCGGTTACTATTAAAGATCTTCCCTTCCTTTTCTTATTCATCTTTAATATTCCTCCTTTCTTCATTAAACTCATGGGGCCACTTAAACACTTTTAAAGAGTTAAAATCACCTTCACCAAAAAAACTTTTGATCCGTTCTTAAATTTCAATCAGAGATTTCGCGAAAAGCAACCTTATGACTGTGCACACCTCGCACTTGGTGGAATTTCTTATTGATATGTTTCTCAAAAATGGACACTGCGTGATTTCGTACTGACATGAACCACAGGTGCTTGACGTGTTTAGGGAATTCTCACTAACACTCTTTGTTGCCAACAAAATGAGTCAACTTGATTGTCCAGTATCCAGAGGTTTCACTGTATTATGAAATCACAGGCATTTGTGAAATCATAGAATAATTTAAGAACTTTATCTCAGAAGAGTATAAAAAGTGGATTAAAGATAGTTAAAATATGATAAAACTGGCTATAACTGTTGTGGAAGGTATTCAAAGTTAAATGTTTGAATTATATTAATTTTCATTTAGCCGGTTTAGAAATATATTCAAATAGCTTTATATTTTTAATTTATATAATGTGCTTTTCATTGGGAAATGTAGAGTTAGAGGGGGAGGGGGAGGTAGTTCTGGTAAAGTAGGATTATATTGAAGATTTAAAATGTTTAGTAATTGGATGTTATCAGTACTAAATACTCAGTTAAATATAATTTTTAATTTTTAGTGAAATAAAATTTGTTTTTTAAATTGTATTTTAAGTGATATTTTTTTTCTTCTCTAGTGCGTTATTTCATATTATAATGAAGTTATAATTTAACGAATCAAAGATAATGTTACTGTATATATCAACATTTTTTAAACAAAAAGGTTTTAACTAGGTAATTATTAGATGTGGTTTGACCTTTTCACTATTTAACAATATTAGTTTTTGTTTTACCAGAAAATAAAGAATAATGTATTAATATGGAATGTTTCTAAAATGCTTGTTTGTACTGATTATCTTAATTTTTATATTTGTAGGGAACTGTAATTTTTAGGTTTAACAAATCATTTATGAATAATAATAAATTTATTTATTTTTTCTAGAGGGAAGATAGTTGTCCCAAATTAAGAAGTCATGAAATGACTCAAGACCCGGGTTATTTTAGTACATCACCTCATCAATATTCTCGTGTGCCACTGGAACATGCTGCAAGTACTCCGTCCAGCATACCCGACATTATACTCACTGGTAATTTTTCAATTTGCACTTATAAAATTATGAAAAAGTTTACTTTGTTTGGTGTGAAACTTATTTGGTTTTATTTGCTACTTAGATTTTTCAAATGGTGAGGATTTGGGAAAAGATTTTGGAGTAAACATGGTTGATAATTTAGATCTATTTCCCACTGATGAATGTCTGAGGGAAGGACTTGTTCCAATAGATATAGATGGATTACAAATGCTTACTGATCCGAGCATGATTGCTGATCCAGCTACTGAGGATCACCTGAGACTTGATCGATTATAATCTTTTATTTGTAAAAAGGTAAGATACCATATTCAATTCTTTCTTTTTCCTAAAACAATATTATAAAGTATTCAAGTGAACTATTTTTTCTTCTGCCTAGCCAGTTATGGCAAAAGAGAAGGGATCCTACATGTAACCAACCTATCTAGTTTGAGTAGGAAGGTTGAGATTCATTTTGTGAACCCCACAAAATAAATTTCAACTTGCCTAGACCAGATTTAAACCGGTGCCCCTGGATTCAAGATTGATTGCTAAGGTAATGATTTAATGCCCTCAGCCATCAGGGCCTCAAAGATACAAATAAATAAAATAAAAATACTGCTTAGCATGAATATTATTTTGAATTAATGAAGTGTTTATTCCTCCTATACATAGAGTTAAGTGTGTCAATTTTTTTTCAAATTGTAATAAATCACTTATCTATGAAGCTAAGAACTCAGAACTTCAACTTCACTGTTGACAATTGCGAACAATAATTATTTTGTAGGATTAATCAAAATAAATTTTAAAAAAGGTTGTATATGTTTAATTTATAAGACAACTGACATTTTGTGCCCAACTAAGCAGATCATGTTTCTGGGTTTCAATATAAATAAGAAACCAGATGTAGAAATAGCAAGTGTTCAATAGAATAATAGGTACAATGAAGAATGAAATATATAAAGAATAATTAATTGTAAAAAAAAACTCAAGAAACCCTCAAAAATAAGGTAAAAAATGATAATTATTGTTTAAAAATTAAGATGAGGCCAAGACCTGTAACTGGGTTGTAGTGGCATGAAATGAAAATGTTTAAAAATTAAACTAAGGAAAACTGGTGAACTAAGAAAATTGTTAGAAAATATTTTCAGATAAGCTTTAGTAAATTAAAACTAAAAAATCATAAAGGATGATTTCAAAGAAGTTAAAGAAAAGTTTACATAAAGCAGTGTGTGGAGGCCATCTGCAGGAATTGTGAGGGCCTGAAAGATATTTTATTTATCATATATTAAGTTCCTAAATATATTGGGTTTCTGCAAATTAAGCAATACTGTAACCATTCTCTTTAAATCAGACCTGGGCACTCTTGAAATAATTTATTTCTGAAATAATTGATATGGTTATTCCACGAATGAATTATTTCCAGAATAATGGTTATTTCTGAAATAATATTTCAAACTGTCAATGAAATAATCTCGATGGAATAAAGTAAATTATTTCGAAATGAGTTATTTCTGAAATAGATTATTTCATAACTATTATTTCAGAATTATTTATTTCTGAAATAACATTGTTCTGAATCTCAAATTCGACCGTAATTTCATAATAAGCTACCCTGAAAACATAATAGTCGACCCTGATATCAATTATATCAGAAAAGTTACAAAAAGTTGATGTGGGAGGGTGGGGGGAGGGCGCAATCTCAAATTTGACATTATTTTTATAATAAGCGCCCCCGAAAACATAACAGTCGACCCGGATATTGATTACATCTGAAAAGTCGATCAGAATGATTATTTCACAACATTATTCCTGAAATAATCATTTCAGAAATAATTATATCATTATTCCTGATATAATTTATTCCCGAAATAATGGTCAGGTTATTTAATGAAATAAATTATTTCGGAAATAACTATCGAGATTTATTTAAGGATTTATTCCGGGAATATTTTTCAAATAAATTCTGCCCAGGTCTACTTTAGATCATTAGGTTGTACAATGTGTTAATAATATGATTTCAATTTATTGTCCAAATGGAAGAAAGTTATACCTTTTGTCTCATTGTAATGTTTGTTTTTTTCATTTCCATGTTTTCCTCTTCTCTTGCTATAATCTCCTATACTCATTTTTTAAAATGTAATGAAATATCTTTTATTTTTATATAAAACCTACACTTGTCTACAAATTAAAATAACAAAATTCAAACTAAAATATCAATTTGTAAGAAATTGATAAGATCTACAATTATATCAAATTTGCACCTTAATTAAAAAAGAATATTTTAAAAAGTTACTTATTATTAATTAACAAATGCCTATTATTATATATAGCTCAATAAAAATCTGATTACATCATCAGTTTATTGCCAAAAATCATTTCAATTCAGAGACGTTTCATAGCCTTTAATCACTTAAAACTTTGATGATTTTTTTCCTTTGTGAATTCAGAATGTTTCACGCTTGTTGTAATTATATTTGATATATTAAAGAGTTTTTCGTTTTTATTCACTTACTGTGTTTTTTTATCTATATTTGAGGTTAAAATTCACAAACAACTTTCTTAAAAGTTCAGCTCCATCCTAAATTTAGTGTGACTTTTTACAATAAACCAACAATATAATCCTACAAATAATTGTTAGGCAGACCGAAAAGTAATGTTGTTTCTATACATGTTACTATTTGATTCCCGTTTGTCAGCTCATTGTGTACATCTAAGTCATGCCAAAAACATTCTAAGGTTGTAGTGACTTGTTTATTTGTGAATAATTAAATTAAATTTTTTTTCTCAACAGTTTAATATTTATATTTTATTGTTTATCCAAATGCATTAGACTTTCATAAATGGCAGAGGTGTTTTTCCAAGTTCCAAGATTGATATCGATCAGGGAGACCAACAACATTAGACAATAACGTGGTAAGGGCGGAAGTGGAACAAAATCCGTGTCAGACAATCAAGGAATTGTCAAACAGTCTTAACCAACCTTGGTCAACCTTCCAAGAACATTTGCAGGAGATTGGGAAATTACCAAAGGAAACTTATTGCTTCAACGAAACAGTACAGAAACGTTTTTTTTATCACCAAAGATGGTCATGCCAGTGTTGTAGGCAAGAGACCACGTGGGAGGCCAAAAACCAGTTGCACAGATAAGATAAACAAAGATACAGCTGAGCTCATGTCACAAACTGGGAAGCAGTAGCCCAAGATAGGCAGAGGTGGAGAAGGCTGGTTCAGGCAGCCAAAGATCTACAAGGTCTTGGTAGAGCCAAGCAAAAAAAAAAAAATAATATATATTTATATGTATGAGTTAACTATTGGCTTCGATAAATAGAAAAATGAAGAAACAAATAACTGGAAATAATTCAATAGTTTTTATTTAACAACAAACAGTAGTATCTAACTCAAAAAGGTTATATCCGTATATGTTTTAACATGTGTTTTTTAACATATTTTAACATGTGTTTATTTTAAATTGCAAGAAATAATAATGTGATTATTTTTAATTGAAACAAATAATATTAAGTCTTAAAAGTCTTATCTATCTCACACCGGACCTTAACTCCCCCCTGCCAGTTTATGAATATTCTTCGTAAACTAGTATCTGAATCTTACAGGTAGGTCAAGTCCGGAGTGAAGCGTCATCAGGCTATACTTTTTCATCAATAAAATTTTACATTGGTATACAATGAGAACTTTGCACTGTGGTTACTTAATTCACTTGATACAAAAGAATGGTTAAGTAATAAAAACAATAAAAAAAATCTGCAATAGTGCAAAAATATAACTACAAAAAAAAATCTTCCTGTCCCACAATGAGGACATTCCATCTATTTATGGTTGCTTTGGCTCACCTTTTGGGAGCTTTAGTTGTTCGATGTGGACTGTTCTGCGCTTCTTAGGCTCTTTCAAGCTCTCTATAGACACAGTGTTATGTTCACGAATGGCGATCACCCTGAATGGGCCCTCGTACCTCACTAGCTCCTTGCCCCTATTGGATCCTCTCCTTCTGTACACTATCGTTCCAATTTTAATATCACCCAGTACGTCCTTCAGCCCTAAGTTATCTTTTCTTACCCTCCTACTTTTTTCGTTCTCAATTTTACTACGGACTTTCTCCCATCGTTTCACCAACGCTATTCTATTATTAACGACACGTTCCGATAATTCCTCGTCTACTGTCGTACTCGTGCTATCCCTGGGCCGTTCCCGCAGCCCAAATAGGATCTCGAAAGGCGAAAAACCTGTTGCGGTATGAATTGAATGATTATATGCCGTGATAGCCTTCGACATCGCCACACCGGGTTCTAGCCCTTTTTCTGCTTGATATATTCTAAGGTGGTCACTAAGCGTGCTATGTAGTCGTTCTATGCCTCCTCTACTTTTTGGATGTCCAGGGGTGTTAATGTGCCATGTAATATCCAAGATCTTCGCCTCTGCTCGCATAATGGCATTGTTAAATTCCTTTCCTCCATCTGATGCAATCCGGTCAGGTACGCCATAAAACTGGAACCATGTTCTTAGAGCCCCCAAGACTGCTTCTGACGACCGCTCCTGGATCAGGTACGCCATTGCTGCCTTACTAAAAAGATCCATCAGCGTGACCCATTTATATCCCCTCCAAGTGAAAGTGTCTATTTGTAGGTCCGTTAATGGTGAATCTGCAGTGGGCGTCTCTTCCTGTATTGCTCTGGGAGGATGCCTATCGTATTTGGTGGTTAAGCATATTTCACAAGCCCCAATGACCCCTTTGATTGTTTGCCTCATCCCCCACCAAAAATACTTCCGCTTTAGTGCTTGCAATGTCTCTTGTATTCCTCGATGATTCGTCTTACCCTGGTGATATGCGATCGTCACCTCCTGTTGGGTCTCTTTATCCTTCAGTGTTTCAACCTTCAGGGTGCATCGAATAAATCTTCTGTCCGTACCGATTTTCTCTGACCGCCATAACCGCTTAATCTTATCCCAGACCGTCGCATTCCCGACGTATATGTGATGGGTGGTGTCTGGTTTTGACACATCCTTGAGTGCGCGACAAATTAAGTCCTCTTTAATTCCTGGTTGCGACCAGATTTTAGTGATCTTGCACTTTCCATACTCATCGTACTCAATCTTTGTTGTCCCCGTAGTCCTGGTCTTCCATATAATTTGATGTCGCTTGTCATTAATAATTTCTGCTAGCTCTTCTATTTCTAAGGGTCTTTCGTCCATAGAAGTATCCTCTTCCTGGGTCTCCTCGTCACCTTCTTGCATACTTCGTTCTCCTTCTCCTTAGGGTGTCCATTCCCGCATCAACTGCCTGACATCTCTAGAGGGTTCCC